TTGCAAGGGCCAGCACCCTATGCGGCTCCCACCAAACCCCTCTGAGCAGGTGCCTCCCACTGGCCTACTCCTGCCTGCTGCTGGTTTCAGCTTCCAACTCCCCTAGAGTGGGCAGGTGCAGTTTCCAGCTGCGTGGTATCCTCCCTCCTCTTCTGGTAACAGCGCCCGGCTTCCTGCAGGGCAGTGTTTCTCCACCTTTTTAAAAAGTGACAGTCCCCACAGAAGTTCTTTTAGACATTTTTTCCTAATCCCTCTCCCCCCATGAAATTAGTCCAACAGACAATACTGTCGATCTGATAAACCACTGTCACATCTCAGGTATTTGGCTTCCTCTGCAGTAATATTAGCCTGGCTGAGAATGCACATCTTTTGTTTTTTTGAGATGGAATCAAGCAATTCTCCCGCCTCAGCCTCCCAAGTAGCTGGGATTACAAGTGTGCGACACCACACCCGGCTGATTTTTGTATTTATAGTAGAGATGGAGTTTCACCATGTTGGCCAGGCTGGTCTCAAACTCCTGACCTCAAGTGATCTGCCTGCCTTGGCCTCCCAAAGCGCAGGGATTACAGGCGTGTGCCACTGCGCCCGGCCGAGAATGCATACTTTAGTATCCCCCTTGTCAGTCCCTGAGGTCCAGGTGAACTGACACCCCTACCCCCACTGGCCCTGGGCTGAGCATCTGATCCAGGCTGGCCAAGCAGCACATTCCATGCCCTTAGCCTCAGGAACTGATTCAGAGAGAAGCACGTGACCCTCACTGGTCCAGTGCGAACTTCAGGACGTTGCTGGAACGACTGAAGGAAAGCTACCTGCTGTCCTCTGGGGTTGTTAAACTGGGGGGATGAAGGCCAAGGTGCGTCACCTTGTCAGCCCTGGAGGGGACTGCCTGAGATGAACTCGACGCAGGGAAGCAATGCCAAGAGAGGAGAAAGAAGAATTCCTGCCAACACTCCTGCCCTCCTGGCCAGACGCCGGCAAGTATTCTTTCGTCCTTCAGCCGGCTGGGATTGGGTTTCTGTCTTTTGTGACAGGAGGGAGAAGAGATCCATGACACTTCTCTCTAAGGACCCCGGACTTCCTCAGACATTTCCTTCCCAAGAAACCCACACCTTTACCGGTGCCTAATAACCCAAAACCTGCACTGACAGAGGGCTCTTAGGAGCATCTGATGGGGGAAAAGGCCTGCCTGTGAGCAAAAAAAGAACATTCTGGGGAGTTCTGGCATGGTGAGGTAAGCCAAGACAGGCTGTGTCTGCTGATAATTACAGTGAAAACACTGCATCAAATACGAAAGTAACTACTTGAGGACTCTGAAAACCAAACAAAAGCAGGTGACATGAAGGGGAGTCCAAACTTGCAGACAAGACTGGTAGAGGAGATAAGTTTCCTATTTTTTTATTCCATTCTTTTGCTCTCCTGGCTTTGCACCAATCCCAGATCTGCCCAGTGGTGCAGTAGAAAAGCTGGCTAAAACTCCATAAGAAACCTTGTATTTCTGGCCAGAGAACCAGGAAAAGAGGCCTGCGGAGTCCAGTGAGTATGGGATGAATCCCAAAGAGAAAGGCACAGAAGGCCAGGCGTAGTGGCTCACACCTGTATTCCCAGCACTTTGGGAGGCCAAGGAAGGTGGATCACTTGAGGTCAGGAGTTCAAGACCAGCTTGGGCAACATGGTGAAACCCCATCTCTACTAAAAATATAAAAATTAGCCGCGCGTGGTGGCGCATGCCTGTAATCTCAGCTACTCGAGAAGGAGGCATGAGAATCACTTGAACTGAGGAGGTGGAGTCTGCAGTGAGCCGAGATCGCACCACTGAACTCCAGCCTGAATGACAGAGCGAGACTCCGTCTCAAAAAAAAAGAGAAGAGCACAGGAAAAGGGAAATTCCTAATTCTGTGTGTAAACACAGAGATTCACCCCTGAGCTAAGCATGACTGAGACAGGTGCCAAGCAGTATAGCAAAAAACCAAAGAAGAAAAGACCTAACTAAACTAAGACTGAAACCACTACCCACAGAAGATCAGACAGAACCTG